CATTACATTAATTAAGTATAAGATGTTTTTAGACTATGATATTGAAAAATATTTTAGCTCAAACCCAGACATTTAACATCATTATTGTTGGTCATATCTACTACAATCTCTATAGGTATATAAAAATCAATTGCTGTCCGTTAGTCTCGCTAAAATTTGAAACTCGCTCGAACGATTCTGATTAATTTTTTGTGTGCAATTGTGAATCTTATCCCTGGATGGATAAGATTCACAATTGGACCTGGTAGGTAAAGCTGTTGTCGAGATCCAGAAATAACCCGTCCGAAGCCGGGCGGTTCACTGGTAATAAATATATTTAAAATATATTTCAAAAAATAAGAAGCATATACTAGAACTGTTTATGGCATCAGCAGGTGGATTGTCGATTGCAGGTCCAGACGTCTCGCATCTTTGATGCTGCTCCCCTGTCACCAGTCTGGGTACTATACGACTGTCGTTAACGAGATGGTCATACTGCCGCTGTAGCCATAACATTTTTCTGGTATTCCCGTGTTCGCCTCTCACTTCACCCACGGGACGAAATTGGATGGTTTTTTTAAGAATAAGGGTGACGAACGAGTAAAGCCCACCTGATGGTAACTGAATGCTATGGATCTAAATTAAGAGTCAAAATACAGATGCGTAGTGACCCCTGAGGACTAAGATGGAATGTCTTGTTTTCAGTAAAAAGGGTCTTCGTTTCTCTGCACTCACAGTATGAAACACAGCAGCATTAGGCTGCTATCTCGCGCTGGTATTCTGTGAAGGCGTGATCCTTCTCATCTAGAGCCGACCCATTTGAGCTATAACCATAATATAGTTGCAGCATGGCTCTCCCACATGTGGTGTATTTTTATATGCCGCGACTACACGTAAAATTGATATGGTGAAGTGTAAGGTGTAAAGATATAATTATCTTTTCGTTATAACACCTTAAAACATAATATATTTTTACATTTCGTAAGACACAATTCATATTTAAAAAGTTTGTTGATGAAAATTTGTGTAGTCTAAATAAAAATTACAGTAAAGAGCAAGAACTGCTTTATTTTATTTTATTTTATTTATTCGCGTACCGCTGCTAATTTATTTTCTTGCTTAAGGACATCGTTACTTACGATTAGCTCTGAGCTCGCTAAAAGCTAATTAATTAACAATATCGTGTTCTTATATTTTTATTCTGTTTCTAATAGACTTTTATTAATAACTAGCGACCCGTATCAGCTTCGCTTGGATACTATTTTAGTAGATTAATGTGGCGTTATTTATATTTAAAAACAATCTCAAACTTTTTGGATAAAATATATCCTACTCGTGGATCCCTCCTGGTATTTCTCTCTATATATTTGTAAAGGCTCATTACGATCGGTTCTGCTATTCCGAAGATTAGCAGACAGACAGATAGACAAAACTTTTAAAAATGGTTATTTAAGTCTTAATAGTCTACCAATAACCTTACTTACTTACTTATCTTCACGCACAATCCCTGACGGGGTAGCCAGAGAGAACAGATCGCCAAGTGTCACGATCCTTACATATCTCTTTCGCTTCTTTCAGATTCATTATATTCTTCATACATGCACGTCTAGGTATCCGAGTACTCTTGACCCTACCCTCTTCGAGCAATTTGCTCACATGGTCTTCGAAAGTTAGTCTCGGTCTACCTCGACACCTTTTAATATTAACTTTCGCGCTATATATTTTCTTCACCATTCGGTCTTCACTCATTCGCTCAACGTGCCCAAACCACCGAAGCACGCCCTTATCAATTTTTGTGATAAGGTCATCTTTCAAACCTGCCATATTGCGAATCTCTTCGTTTCGCTTTCGGTCGGCCATAGTAACGCCGCACATTTTACGAAGAGATCGCATCTCCACTGCATTCAACTTACTTTTATGCTTCTTCTGGCACACCAATAACCTCGTGAACCTAATAGGAGCCTGTTAATTCAATACAATTCATACAGACACTTCAATTTTATTTAAACGTATATGTATAGGTAAATTTATATTTTTTTGTATTTCTTTGAAGTGGGGGCAAATGCTTGGCATGCGACTCGCGTCTTAAGCGACTGCCACCACCCATGAAAAGCTGCAACTCCGGAAGACTCGCGGAGGCAGAGTTGTACAGTAATTGATTTTTATTTATATAAGACGTGAAAAAATAGCTTAAATAAATAAATACTCTAGATGTTTCGATGACATACTGAAAACAAAAGAGAAATATCTAAGTATTATAGGCAATCTGATTCGTATTTTACAGAAACAAACCAAACAAATAGTAATTAGTTTCCACATTGTTTTAAAATCTTACATGGTACACAGAAAATTCTTTCAGAGCAGTATAACAATGCAAAAATGGAAAAATGGATTTCAGAATGCTTGATATTTTATTTGCTGGCTCCGAGGGTTCGGTAAGCTTTTGTTCTTCTCTTTTACAAATGTACTTGAAATGTTACATTCGCATTTTTAACAATATTCAATTTCCTATAAATAGAATAAATATTAATTTTGTGTTTTTATTCCCAACGAAAGAGATGTAAAAATTATGAATATGTCGGAGAAAGAGGGTATAATAAAAGAGGAAATAAAATGGAAGTGAGGGTAGACCTAGACACCATCACTCGTGTGTACAGTACAAAGGAGATGAACTTGGTTCCGTACAAGATTGGGCCCGAGGTGAAACAAAGTTCAATCAAATCTTATTTTGAAGATTTAAGCATTTGCTATTTAATTCAAAAATCATATTTTTGTATGGCCTGGGGTTTTATTTTTATTTTATGTTTTATTATTTTTAGGTTATGTAATAAAATCACTTGTTCCTGTAATATGTTGTTTAAATAAATTGAAAAGTATTCAAAATAATTCAGTTTTGTAGTTGTTATGAAAATAAAGTATTTTAAATCTTAACCTTTTTTTAATTTTTTAATTATATTCTGCAATTATTAATACAATATCATCTAGAAAAGCAGCCGGAGGCTGTAACTTGTCTGTTTTATTCTTCAAAAAACCCAAGTACCATATTATTTTCATTATGTGGGCGCAACAATCTACTGTCATGTAATGCGAGAGAAACGCCAAAGATCAAGTTAAATTAATCCACGAAAATAAAAACACGAAATATATTATCCACAAATACAATCACAATATCAAATGCGCATGAAAAGTTGAAACTCGAACTCGAAGTTATAAAGTTAAATCTGCTTCGGAACAGGCAATGACCAACGACCATACAGCCTATTTAATCGTATCAGATATTATTCAAATATTTTTTAGTTAAATAAAATGGTCTATACAATTGATTTTCTAAATTGATTTATTTAATTCAGTATAAATCTCTACAGATTCGCATAAATATTTTAATATTATGATGTCGTTGATAATGAAGGCTTATTTTTTACAAAAAATAGCATTCATAATCAAATGCCATAGACATTAAATACAGAAAAATAATTAAAGACGTTTTGTTTTTGCTATGGTAAAAGTTTTAGTTTTCGTTTTTCAGTTTTAAAAAATGCTTTTATGAATGTTCCATGGATTACAAAAATAAAAACCTTTTAATTATGCTTATAATTTGTCGTCTAATTACCTTCATATTTTTTATAACTGTTACGAACGATGTCTAGCGCCCAATTTCATACATCTCCTTTCATCTATGAATATAATTTATTGTCACGTTGGTCTAGTGGTCGTAAACGCGATAGCTGGTCATGAGGTCCCAGATTCGAATCCCGGGTCAGGTCAAAGTCAGTTTTTGGGTTTTTCTTCTGTCAAGAAATTCTCAGTAGCAGCCTGGAGACAGGAAGTTGGCGATATTTCACCAACATGCCTTAGTTTTATGTGGAGCCTAGATAGCCGCGTTGCACTCAAGCTGCCTCCTAACTAAGGCGTTATATAATGTTATCGTGGCTCTAATGTTAATAAACCTCAACAAAATTATTTCCCATTTTCCTTTAATATTGGAATATTTTAAATTCAAGTTAAGTCATAATCTGCAGAAAACTGACCAAATCAATTTGAACCGAAAAATTTCATAAAAGCATCACAGGTGCAGCGAATAACTCATTTTTTCGAACGCTGATATTATTGCACTTTGTCTTGAACAAAGCAATTTATTGGTAGAATTGGGAAATGAATCAGATTCCAAAAATGTTTCCAAAAGCATTTTAATATACTTTTTGTGTCATTTTAAAATTAATGCCTGTTCCCGTTTATTTGCACGACTGCTATTAAAATATTAATATATAAGACCTGGCTAAGTGGCGGCAGTCTTGGGAGAAGCCTATGTCACTGACGCAGCTGACGATAATGATGATAGTAATATAATACTAGGTATGTTCGTGTTGCGGGTAGTAAGATAAAGGTGAGGTGAAGTTGAAGACTTAGGAATATTAAATTCAAATCAGAAAATATTATCGGGGATCATATTTTACCAGATGTCGATAGCAAGTGTCAACCTTCAAGAACATAACAAGCGTTATGATGTGCGGGTACACAAGGTGATGCATGTGTATTTATTTACAAACAAATAAATAGAAAAATGGGATTTTTGGGCTTGTAGTTAAATAATTAGTTTATACTTTAAAAAATTGGCTATAGTTTTCTAGAGTTTTCAAAAATACAAAAAAAAACTAGCTCTTTTTAACCCTAGAAAGATAATCAGATTGAGTTATACGTAAAAGATAATCATACGTAAAATTGACTCCTTAGTTTTGAGAGGTTGTTAAATGAAGAGTTTTATAATGATTCAAGTAAAACAAAAGTATTAGTTTTCTACTACCGTAATCAATAAATAATACTACCGTTTATTTATTTATATTTATTCATTTTATAATAAAAAAACAAAAATTACAAACTTCTCAATAATCAACAAAACTTAGGAACTTCTTTTTTATTTTAAAGCCTTTTCATAATCTTATCATAAATGAGTATTTTTATATCATATTCTAAAGTAATAAAAAACCAAAATTAAAAAATAACATGAAAATTGTTTAAAATAATCAGTCAAAACAGTTTATGCACATATCAACATTATGCTGTCGGCAAATAACAGCTTTACATTTTTTGCACATGGCATTTGCTTTTCTCTTTATTTTAGAGGGGCAATATTTACAGTAGCCACGTTTTTTGGCTACTGGCTCTATTGTATCCTCTTCTGTTGGCTCTTGGGCACTCATTTGTAACAAATTATTTGTAATAGTGTCCCGCAAATATCTCTTCAAAGTAGGTGCATCCAACCGCTTTCTCATGAACGGCGATGTCAGGGCCGTGCTCAGGTTTTCCATGAACTTTTTGCGATTCAATGCCTTCTCACCTTTGGTAGCAATATTGTGAGTGTATACTACATACGCATTTATACAGGCAATGTTTAACATTCCATAAAATATTGCCATAGGCCACCTGTTCGTCTTTCTACTGGAGAACATTGTAGAACACATTTGGTCCAGGGTATCTACTCCACCTTTGGTTTGATTATAATAAATAATTATTTCCGGTTTTCCAGTAGGTTCATTGATCGAAGCATCTTCATTGCATGACGATAGTAAGTAAACCATTTTAGCCGGTTTCGGTTTATAGGAGACGAGTGTGAGAGGTCCGTCAAAACAAAACATCGATGTCCCCACTGGTCTAGATCGGCTATTTTTCAATTCTTCGGGTATCTCCCGTTTGTTTGAACGTATGGTTCCTACAAGAGTCAATTTATAAGGCTCTTGGAGTAAACTCTTTGCCAAAGAGATTGATGTGAACCAATTGTCACATGTAACATTACGGTTACTACCATGTATGGGTTTTGTTAATTCCTTCACATAATATTCTCCGAGGGGTAAGCCATTCGTCTGAGTTCCCTTTCCTAAATAAGGCATTGCATTTATCATGTATTTTGTACCGATATCACACATCATGACAAGTTTAAGTCCATACTTGCTTGGCTTGTTAGGAATGTAAATCCTAAATGGGCATCTCCCTCGAAAGCCGAGTAATTGTTCGTCTATTGTAAGTTGAGCCCCTGGGTTATAATTTATTGTACATTGGTTGATAAACATATCCCATATTTTACGAACAGGAGTAAAGACGTCATTGACTCGCAGTACCGGCCGCACATTTTTGTCGTCCATTCTAAGGCATCGGATCAAAAAATCAAAACGATCACGACTCATCACGGAGACATATAATGTTGAAGAAGATCGGTCGAACAACTCATCCGTCGACATATGGTTATCTTTTCTCATTGCGGTCATTACCAAGATGCCAATCAAAGCACGGATTTCATCCTCACTTGTGTCTTTGAATGTAGCACTAGTCATAGTTTCTCGTCTTTTGAAGGATATTTCAGCATTGGTCCATCTTACAATTTCGGAAATTATTTCATCAGTAAAGAAGATGTTGAAGCATAAAACAGGGTCATAAATATTACGGCACATGCGTTTTGGACCCCTTTGAGACCTGACGATGTTCTGTGCTGAGACTCGACCACGTCTTGAAGATTTTGAGGTTGACCAGCAATGTTTATTTTTACCTCTGATAGTTCTTCGTGACGGAGTTATTATTCGACGAGAAGCTGTTGAGGGAGTTCCTTGATCAGAGCTTTCTTCCCCCATGGGGTCAATTTCGAAAGAAGTTGCTGCTTCTTCTTCCCTCACTTCGTCCACAAAATCTTCTTCCTCATCGCTCTGGATGTCATCCTCGCTCTCGTGGTCTTCAACTTCGCTGTCGGTGTCAGCATAGGGTGGCTCCTCATCACTATCTAAAAGAGCGGCCAGGATGTGGTCTTCATCCAAATTTCTAGTCCCCATTATGGCTTAGCAGTATCACGATAACTAAAAAATAAAAACAATATCAGAAATAAATAAAAATAACTAATACAATAAAAAAACAACACAAATAACCATTTCACCAAATATCGTAAAAGTCGCGTAAAAGATAATCATACGTAATTTTGACTCCTTTGACTATCGTATCTCAAAATGGCGGGCACTTACCTCAATGACGCGATTGCCCCACGCTAGCTCTCAGCGGTGAATGAAATGTCTGAAAAGCACGACGCCGGATTCGCAATAATTAAAAAGAGACGGCAGTATATTGTTCGCGTGGGAGTCATTTTGACGTAACAAATACAATAAGAAATAAGTTAGAAAATCGATTGTATTGTATCAGTATTTTTATATTCATTCGGAACCAAAAAAATAAAATGAAAAACTTCCAAGGTTTCATTCAAATGCTATTTGTTTATTTATTTAGAAATAAAATATACATTCATTTGGAAATAAAATATATTATCGCATAAGGAAAAAAGAATTAAACATTTTACGGAAATAAATCGATTACCGTAAAGAATACACTAGTAAACTACTCGTTTTTGAACGCTACCTACCACTAGTAATTCTTATTAGTTTGTGCTACCATCCAATATAGGACTTCTCATTTTGAAACTTGACTTGACAGTTTAAACTTCAAAACTATTAACTTAGAAGATAAAAATAACTTAAAATATTAAATTTTAAAAAGACCCTAAAAAGACCCTACCGCAGCTAACAAAACAGCTGATGACCTTGAAAAGGCTAAACCAATTTCCTGCTTATAAATAAATAACGTTTTCCTGCTTAGGTGTTAACACACCAATCGATCGATCGTCGATCAATGGCATCGATCGACGGTAGAATGGCTTAGTCGGTCGATCGGGCTGCTTGATTATTAGAGAATCCACCCCGCTTCACCGATCGCCCTATTGTCCTCTTCTGAATAATTGTTGAAAGATCAGCGATTGTCGATCGAGTCGATACAAGAGAAGATTTAACAACGTTTTATCGACCTGTGTCCGTCGATTAGCTAAAGCTACCACACCAATCGATCGACATCGATCAACGTCGATCAATAGCATCGATCCACGATCGATACAGTTGGTGTGGTAACACGCTTCGACCTCTTGATAGTGAATCAATTCAACTCCACGATACAGAAGAAAATCAAGATAAGTTTTTGAAAAAAAAAAAGGAAAAAATACGATTTCGTTTACAATTTTAATATGATTTGTTTCTTCCTTATTTCGAAATCATTCGTAAGCAAATATCAGCTTGCTTTAAAAATCTTATTTCTGTTTGTCCTTTTCTTTCACTTACGTACCTTATTTTTTTGCCATTAACTTAGGTCATTAGAATTTATACAGTATAAACTGTGATTACAAGTTTGCTGGAATGATGAAATGAAATAATTATATAAGAATATACTTAAAATTATTTTCATATACAAAAGGGCAAAAATTTGTAACTTAATCCAACTTCTTAATTTATATTTTGACCGTCTTTTGAACTTTTAATAACTCAAGTAGTATCGAAAAAATGTATTTTCCTGTAATTAGAATTATAACTTTTATTAACACTTTGGCAAAACAATATCTAACTCTTATATTAACGTGAATATTACACATTAAATAAAAAAAATATTTTCAGGTTTTATCGCGTTTAATTTGGTATTTTTAACTTTAAAACTACTTTCCTTACTATAAATAATAATTTGACAAATTAATTTCATTCAAAATAATACATGTGAAATGGCATTAAAAAGTATAGGTCAAATTATGTACAAAGACATTAGAAACTATAGGAAATTTTATGATAATAGTAATCAATAATAATTTGTTTGTTGCATGTTAAAATATTTTATATTTTACCGGAGACCCCTTTAACTTGAATAAAGGCATTCCATCTAAGTCCTCAGGGGTGAAAACGCACCTACATTTGATTCCTAATTGAGGATAGATGTAGATGTCTAAGGGCCACAACATCCATTTAATATCAGGATGGACTGTGTGCTCCTTTGTTTTGAATTTTTTTATAGAATAAGGGTGATTATATAAAAAAATCAAAAATATCCAATTTATTCACGGCTATTTTACTTTACATATCAAAAATTCATTAAATAACCGTACTAGAAGTAAACCAAAGAAAACATCGCGTAAAGCGACAAAGGTACAGAGAGGGTTCACTTCAATACAGCTTGTATTGAACAAGCGATTGACCTGAACCAATGCTCCAAAGCCTTTGCCAGGGATCTGTCTGCCAGAAAGAGCCAACTGTAAAAGCTGAAGACCGAATGTGGCAGCATCGTTTCTGGGACACCTGAGATTTTGAGTGAGATTGAGAGTTTCTATGGGCAGCTGTACACGTCATCGTTGAAGCCACACGCAAGTGCGTGTATCGATCCAAGAGCGAGCCTTACCGGACACTATTCCGAAGATATCCCGGATATCAGTCTGAGCAAGATTAGAATGGCTCTCCAGCACATTAAAAACAGCAAATCCCCGGGCGAGGATGGAATTACAGTGGAGCTTTTGAAAGCGGGTGGAAAACCGGTACTTTAAGTCTTTCAGAAGCTCCTTAATTCCGTCCTCAATGGAGTTACTACTCCGGAGGCGTGGATCAGAAGTGCGGTGTTCTTGTTTTTCGAGAAAGGCAACAGCGCTCTCTTGAAGAACTACATACCGATTTTCCTTCTGAGCCGTATCTACATGCTGTTTCCGTGAGTCATTACGAATCGTCTCGCACGAAGACTTGACGACTTCCAGCCTCCCGAACAAGCCGGTTTCCGAAAAGGCTTTAGTACCATAGACCACGTACATACCCTGCGGCAGATTGTACAGAAGACAGAGGAGTATAATCTGCCACTTTGCCTTGCGTATGTGGACTATGAGAAAGTCTTTGATTCCGTCGAAATTTTGGCGGTGCTGCAGTCCCTTCAGCGGTGCCAAGTTGACTGTCGGTATATCGAAGTGCTGAAGTGTTTGTACAGTAGGGCTACGATGGCTATCCGAGTACAGAATCAGAGTACGAAACCTATCCAACTGCAGAGAGGTGTAAGACAGGGTGACGTTATATCCCCGAAACTTTTCACCGCTGCATTGGAAGACGTTTTTAAGCTACTGGACTGGAATGGATGTGGTGTTAACATCAATGGCGAGTACATCACTCACATTCGATTTGCCGACGATATAGTCCTTATGGCAGAACCACTGGAAGACCTAAGCACTATTATGCTCAATGACCTCAATAGTGTTTCCCAACGGATAGGTCTTGAGATGAACATGGACAAAACAAAGATCGTGTTTAATGTCAATGTCACACCTATGCCGGTAGTTGTTGGGAGCACTAAGCTCGAAGTTATTTATGAGTATGTTTACCTGGGACAAATAGTCCGATTGGTAAGTCGGATTCAACTCGGCTGGGCAGCGTTCGGGAAACTACGACAAATCTCCTCGTTAGACATACCTCAATATATAATATACCTTTAGTTATTTATTATTTTCTAATTTCTAATGTGTTTTTATTGAAGTAAGCGTAACAAAGGAGCACACAGTTGAACTGATGGTAAGTGGGTGCTGTTGCCCAGAACCACTTTTATATCTATTATCAATTAAGAAACAAAATGATATGCACTGTAAGTTGTGAGGGCTAAGATCAAATGCCTAATTACCAGCAAAAAGGGTATCCGGTTATCTACACTCACCATACGAAACAGCAGTACTAAGGTCTTTATTAACGCTGGTTTTCTGTTAGAGCGTGGCCCTTCCACGCACGAGTCGACCATTTGTGTTGCAACCATAATATAGTTACAGCGTAGCTCTACAACATTCGAAAACGTAGTATATTGTGTTACAGTGACGAATAAGTCAATTCATTCATTCACTCACGTTAATATTTATTTTATAAATAAAAAATATTCAACGACACCTTATATACTAGTGATGTCTACTCTTGGAGGCAATCTGTTTTGTACTTTACAATAGAAACAAAACAAAGAAATCATTATAAGTCTTTCGCTCTCTTTTTCCATATTACATAGCCTAGAGGAATTTTACACAGAGAATTTATAAAATAGTAAAATAGAATTGAAAAAGCTTCATATTTATTTTGAAAGATTTCATGGGTTCGGTTAGCATTTTTCTTAAAATTTTACAGAATGTACTTGAATTTTTACAGTAAAACTTTTCAGAATATTTCAGATTCCGGCTGTAGTATACAGTATTTTAGTGATGGGGATATTCGATTATCTTTTTGTTAGAACATGGCCACGTATGAGCCATACTTATACGTGGTAGAGCCATGCTGCAGCTATATTATGGATGTAGCACGAATGGGTCGGCTCGACCGGGGAAGGACCACGCTCTCACAAAATACCAGCGTAAAGTAGCTGCTTAACACTGCTGTTTCGTATGGTGAGTGTAGGGAACGGGAGACCGTTTTTACTGGAAACGAGGCATTCCATCTTAGTCCTCACGGGTGACAACGCATCTGCATTTTCATTCGTAATCGAAGAGAGATGGAGATGTCTATGGGCCACAGCAACCACTTACCATCAAGTGGACTGTGTGCTCGTTTGTCACCCTTCTCCTATAAAAAAAAACATACCCTACAAATTGTGATGCAAAAGTATAAGACTGTTTTGAAATTAAAAACTTTTAAGTATTGTATATAAGTTACGTTGATATTTTAGTTGTTATAAACCCGAACCTACCGGTCGGTTTATTGACACTATCTCATGACACATTCATTTAATTCCGTACCACACCTGTTAGTTAGTGAAATAGAGTTAACTTATTATTGCTTTCAATTTAAACTACGGATTATAAAAATTGTTTTTCAGAATATAGTAATGAAAAAACATAAAGAAAGACACTCAATTATCTATCTATACATATAATAAAACTGTAAATAGCAGATGTCTGTACATTTTATATTTTTGTAATAAAAGTGATTGAGGGGTACTAAAAATAAGTAATTAAATACATTTCTACCATTTT